AGACTTCCAACCCTCTGGTCCTAGAATCCACATCAGGCTGCACGAAACAGCCCCACCCAGTTTGGGGCAGGAGTCATTGGCATCGTGGAGGTGGGGCAAGATGGGGCCTGCCAGCTAGCTGTTGGAGCAGAGCGGATATGGGGAATGGGACCCTGCCCCTCTGAGTGGAGGTAGGGTCTTGGCCCGGGATGAGCAGGGCCTGGAGGAGAAGGATGTCTTAGAATCTGGATGTGGACCGTTGAGGTGATGATGCAGTGGGGGAAAGCTGGGACTGCTTGGTCGGTGGTTCAAACCCACCAGCTGCTCCACAGGAGAAACATGAGACTTTCTGTTCCCGTAGGAATTCCACCCTTGGAAACCCACAGGGGCCCTTCCACTGTGCCCCGTGGTGTCAAATGAGTTGAGAGCAAGGGCAGCAGTGGGCGAGGTCAGTGTGAGTGGAGAGAGCTCTGGTGGTACCAGGGGTTAAGCACAAGACTGCTAACCGGAAGGTTCTGATGGACCAGCGGCAGCTCCATCCTCACCGCCAGCAAGTCGATGCTAACACACAGCAACCTTGTGGGACAGGGTAGAATTGGCCCTGTGGGTTTCCAAGACTGTGTGTATGGGCGTAGAAAGTCTTTCTCCTGTGGAGCAGCTGGTGGTTTCAATCTGTTGACCTTGCTGTTAGCAGACCAATGCTAACCCGCTGTGCCACAGGGCCCCACCGTGGGAAAGAAAGAGGGAACAAGGTGCCAGGAATGCAGGAAGTGGACACACAAGAGCTCTCGTTTGTAAACACGTGAGTCCAGAGGCCAGCACCACGAGGGTGGAGCTGTCGCCCTCCATCTTCACGGAGGAAACTGAGGCTCTGGCCGGCTGTCACTCACCCAGCCCAGAATGGGGAGCTGGGATTCTAGCTCAGAGTCTGTGCGAACCGAACCTCCCTGAGCCCATAGCCCAGGGACTGTTTGTGGAAGCAGCACAAATTGAGGCTCTCATTGCAATGGGGAGCAGCTGTTGGATGCAATTCTGAAGTCCCATTCCTCCCTCCCCTAGACCAGGGAGTCTTCAGGTCAGCGAGGCTTGTTGAGGTTGGAGCTGCCATGAAGGCTGGGGGGTCAGCGGAGGTCAAGGCCTGGGGATTGTGGGAGAGACATGACGGCGCCCCGGGCAGCGTGCTCCTGAAAGCAGACCTGGCACCAGCAGCAAACTTGGGAGGATGGACCAGGGCTGCTCAGACCTTCTTTACAGCCCTGAAAAGGGAGTGTCCCCACCCTCGCACTCAACACCTGGGGCAGGGTCCCCAAGGGCTTTCAGCCCACACCTGCTCCAGTCACCAGCCAGGGCGACACGCTCCTGTGCCCCCCTGCAGCAAAGCCCCCAACAGATGTGAGCCAGGACTCCTGTCCATGGTTGCCTCCTGCAGGGGCCGAGGGCGGGATCAGAGCCTGCCCTGTGGAGCCCCCACTCCCACCCCCACCCCGCCCCGGTGCAGCCTGCATCATGCAGAAGCAGAAATTGCCCACAAGCAGGGAACTCGAAGACACTCCAGGTTGGCCGGAAGCAAGCTGCCCTGCCCAGCGTCCGTAGAGACAGAGTGGACAGAGAGGTGTCTAGAAGGGGCTGTCTGGTAGAGGTGGGAGGAAGTGCTAGCCAGAAAGGAAGCTAGACTCCCAGGTCCGAGGAGCCATGAGGGTGAGGGACAGAATGAGGCCTTGTCCCCCTCCTTATGTGAGAGGGGCCCCAGAAACCATCTTAATGGCCCTGTGCTTTGGGGGGCCCTGGCTACCCCAGCCCAGGCCCCGAGAGACCAGAGTTCAGACCCTCCACACCTGCACTTGGGGGCACAGACCTGCTGGAAGGAGCCAGACAAGGTGGCCCCTTCATGGTGCTAGCTGGCCAGTGTGTGCCACAGGGCCGTGGATGGTGACAGAGAGTCCTGGCTTTACCCATGCCAGGACTGGCAGTCCCCAGTGGCAGAGAGGGTCACAGTCTGAGGTAGGCAGGGCTGCCCCACCCACCACACCCAGTACCGCCCACTACACCATCGATCCATGAGTGCTCCTCTTCCGGTTAGCCGCCTGTAGAGCTTATGAATATTTTAAGAACTGACCCAGCATGGTGGCCTCGGGAAGTGCTGGCCTGTAAGGACTGAGGACAGCCCACCTTCTCTTGTCCCTTCTTTTCAGTCTGCGCTATTTTTAACCCCCTGAAAGGCCACAGCCCCTTCCCTCAGGCCCCTGCCACACTGGGCTGGACCTGTGTCTGGGTTGGAAGAGCCAAGGTTAGGGACTCTAGGCTCCCTCTACCCTGTCCTTTCCCCTCCCCTCCACTCCAGAGAAGCCCAGTCCACTGCTTCAGCCCAATGACACCGAAACAGAAAGATACTCCCTGAGTCCTGGGAGAAGGAAGCCCTGGTAGCATAGTGGTTACACATTGGGCCGCTAACTGCAAGGTCAACAGTTTGAAACCACCAGCCTCTCCACGCGAGAAAGGCTAGGCTTCCTACTCCTGTAAAGAATTACAGTCGCAAAAACTCACAGGGGCAGTTCTGCCCTCGACATCAGCTCCATGGCAGTGAGCCAGGATTCAGGGGAAGGGTGGGGAGGGCCTCATAGGCCCTGCTGCAGGCTCCCAGGAAATCCGGGCCTGAGGGACAGTCCAGGGCTGGGCTCTCCACCTTCCCTGGAGGCCTGGATGGTGGTGGAGGCTGGCGTGTTCTTCCCGCCCCCACACCCAGGGGACCGAGCAAGAGCCAGGTGCCCCAGAGCACCATGTCAGCTAGAGGTGGGGACAGGAGGGGACGGAGGGAGTACAGGGAAACACTGTGTCGGGCTGGGCTGGGCAGGGGACAGGGAAGACTTCCGGGAGGGAGTGGGCCCTGGAGTAATGGTTGAAGATGAATGGGAGTTAGGGAGAGGAGAGGAGAGGGTGGGGCAGAGGCAGGGCCCAGCCACACTCCCATAGCCCTCAGCCCCCAATCTTCCCAAGCCCTCACGGACTCTCCGTGTCACCCCTGCCCCCTAAGTCCTGCACCAAGTTACAGGCCAACCAACACCAGCACCACCTCCTCCTCCAGGAAGCCTTCCTGGCTAACCCTGCTCTGCCTTCCCCCTCCCATGTAGGGCTTCTCTGAGGAGAAAAGCTGGTTTGAAGTCCTGTCCAAGTGGCCCTGTGAACTCTCAGGGGTTGCCCCAGTGCCTGGGAGTTCCTGATGACAGTTCAGCATTCAAGGGTGTCCTAAGGCCCAGGAGCCCTGCCCATGATCTCACACAAATGGGGCAGCTATTTTTACTGGGCATTTAATTACCCACTGCAGATCCAGGAGGAGAGAGGAGCGGGTGCCCCCAGGAGCTTCGAGGGAAGGGGCATGCCGGAAGAGGCGGGATCCCAGGGGCAAGGGGCAGGTGAGGGCATGACATCCTGTTGCAGTTTCTGGCAAGTTTCTGCCCCCACAGGGAGGGGCTCCCCAAGGCAAGTCAGGGCTACAGCACCCCACTTATTCTCCTCAGGTGCTTTCTACCTAGATGTTTGGGGTGGGGTGGGGGTGGGGGTACATACATGCAGAGGGCTGGACCTGTACCTCCCGGGGCAATACACACCCCAAGTGACTGACAAGATGCCCTGCAAGTAGGCAGTCAGGGGCTGGGATCAAGAAGAGGCGGCTGAGGACCTAATGTCGGGGGTTTAAATGGAGAGAAAATGTTTTGAGAAACGATATACAAATGTGCTTTACACAATTGATGTGTGTATGGATTGGGATAACAGTTGTATGAACCCCTAATAAAATGTTAAAAAAGAGAGAAGAAAAAGAAAAAAAAAGAAGAGGCAGCATTCAAGAAAGGACTGTTGTAGAGGTGACCCCAGATTTGGGCCTTTTCAGACTGGGATTTAGACAGGAGCAGAGGGGAACAGGATTCCAAGAGGTGGGAATACAAGGGGCGGGTTCAGGCTACGGTGAGAGCCAGATGTCTGCGAAGGCAGGGCCTTCAGCACCAAGGTGGAGACTTGGTCTTCCTTGAGCCACCCACTCTGGGTGGTGCCCCCTGTGCCCTGGCATTAGGCAAACGGGTGACCTGCCACCATCCAAGCTGTGGCATACCTTGGGTGCCACGGAGCACAGGCCTTCAAGCAACCCAGGTTCACTGCTTAAAGATAGTCCAAGCCCCACCTCCTCTGGGGAGCTGGCATGGGGGTGGGGGGAGGCAGGGATGCAGCAGGGGGAGGGGACAACACACCAAAGATGTCACATCAGGTGGGGGCAAGGTGCTCCTGTTCTCCAAAAGAACAGGACGTGGTCGGCAGGTCTTCCAACTCCCAGACAAAAGTACACTTGAGCAGAAACCTGAAGGAATGATGGGGGCGGGCGGGAAAGGAGAGCATTCCAGGCTAGTGCAAGAAGGATCCTGAGGGGGAGGTGCCCGGGGAGCTTTTAAAGCAGCAAGGGGGCGGTCCCGCAGGCCTGGGCTTTTTCTCCATTACAGGGACCACTGAGGAGGAGGGAGCCGGCTGGAGGGTTCGGCCTGGCTGGGTCCTGGGGCGAGAATAGGTTATGGGCCAAGGATGAGAGTCGGGGTCTGAGACCAGTAGAGGCTGCCGATAACTGCAGGCGGATGGGTCTGTGGATTTGGGAACAGTGGCCCGAGTGGTAAGGGAGAGTTGGGGTCCTGAAGGAATTTGAAGGTAGAGCTCACAGAACTGCATCTTGGTGGGGGGCTCGTGAGAACCCCCACATCAAGGCACCTGTCTTCCCAACTGCCTCCAGGAACGCTCGGGGTCCCTAACATTACCGGAGGAGAGGATCCATGCAGTACCCGCCTCCCCCTTGCCTTTCAGATCCTGCGCCCTACCCGGCAGGACCTGCACGTTGGGTCCCCAGCCTCCCAGCCCCTGGGAGCAGGAGAGCCCCCCCGGCCCTGGGGAGGAGAGAGGGGCTGCTTGGGGCCGGCGGGTCAGCAGGCGAGGGCCGCTCTCCTTCTGCAGCCGCTGCCGCCCGGAGCTGCCATGGGACGGGCGACATGACCGGTGCCGGCCCCGCCACCCTGGGCCCCGACTGGCGGCGGTTCTGCGAGCTGCACGCGACGAACAGCCGCGGCGGGCTTCGCGCACAAGTTCTGCCGCTTCGTGCGGGACAACCCGGCCTACGACACGCCGGACGCGGGCGCCTCCTTCTCCCGCCACTTCGCCGCCAACTTCCTGGACGTCTTCGGCGAGGAGGTGCGCCGCGTGCTGGGGGCCGGCCCGGCGCCCCGGGGGCCGTCGGAGGACGCCGACGCCATGGACCCCGACGCCGCAGGACGCGCGGCGGCCAGGACGCGCGTCCGCAAGGGCTTCTCGCTGCGCAACATGAGCCTGTGCGTGGTGGACGGCGTGCGCGACATGTGGCACCGGCGCGCCGAGCCCGAGCCCCCGGCCGAGCCGCGCGACCGGTGGACGCGGCGCCTGCGGCTGTCGCGGACGCTGGCGGCCAAGGTGGAGCTGGTGGACATCCAGCGCGAGGGCGCGCTGCGCTTCATGGTGGCCGACGACGCGGCCGCGGGGCCCGGAGGCGCGGCCCAGTGGCAGAAGTGTCGCCTGCTGCTGCGCCGGGCGGTGGCTGGCGAGCGGTTCCGCCTGGAGTTCTTCGTGCCCCCCAAGGTGAGTGTGCCTTACGCAGGGGCGCGGGGCTGGGCTCCGGGGCCAGCAGGGCCAGTCTAGTCTGGCTGGCAAGGTGGACGCTGGGAGGGCTCGCTGACCCCACCCTGGCGGTGGTGGGCACCGCCCCTGCCCGCTCTCACCCGCCCCCTCCAGCCTGTGGTGTGTGTTCCCAACATAGCGCTTGCAGGAATTAGGGCTCTCCCCACCCCGCTGCAGGTCCCTCTGGCCGAGGAAAGCCGATTTGAGGGGTTTCCTACTCCAAGGCTGCCCTCTGAGCCTCAAGGTGGCCTGATCCTTCCCAGGGCCCCCTGCCTATGGCAAGAGAGTCACTGACAGCAGGCTTGTCCCGATTCCTATCGGGTCCCCAGCCCTGGGGTAGGCAGTGTGCTCCTAATTTCCCCCAACAAGGTGGCCCCAGGGCACAGAAGAAAAACCAGACACTGACTCAGTCACGCAGCCATGGGGCAGAGCCAGGCAAATCATACCCACCGGCCCTGGGGGGGCAGGGGATGCAGCAAGTGCAGGCTTCGGTCTCTGTACACTGGGGGGCTGCAGGGAGGCGGAAGGCTGTGCGGCTGCAGCAGCTAGTAGAACCACCCAGACGTCTGCTCCCCCCAGAGCCTCCTCAGTCACCCTTGGCTCTTATTCCATCTCCTCGTCGGCCAGCAACTCCAGAGACCCCTCCCCACTGAAGGTGCAGGCCCGA